GGAGACACGAGTATACAAAAGAAACTGATGATTTTTTTAGAAATGTTGAAACATATTCCCAAACTCTTTTATAAAAACAGAAAGAGTGGCTGCATATTTTTCACTGTTCACAGGACTGTGTTTAGTCAACACATCAAAATACAAATCATTATTTGCCATCACTTGAGCTTGCCATAATTTAAGTTTCATTTCAAATGCTGTTCTGTTTTGAAACATAGAACAGATAAGTTGATTTCCGCTTTGAAGATACCTTTTAGCTCATTTAAAATAATGGTGAAATCCACAAAAAATGCTAACTCTATGAGCCATTTTTAATCTTCACATTCTGGCACAGATTTTCCCTTTGGTTCCATAAAATACTTGATTTCAATTTGCAAATTATAAAATCCTTTTGCCATTTTACCCTGACTTAGCCACCTCTCTTCAGAAAAGTAAAGGATGTCCCCATAATTAGCATCCAGACTTTTAAGGCACTCCTAGAATTGGTAATTAATCAATCAATCCCTTGAACTTCATGAATTTCACAGTTTTGATAATGATTTGCATCACATTATCAATTTTTAAGGCTTTGCATATAAATTTTCTTTGTATATGATGCCATGATATTTCATCGAACGTAAGTCAGTGGTAGCCATTGCATTGCCCTCTATTAATTTTATAAGCCCTTCTTTTTTACCAATCATCACTAGGGTGCCATCAGGAACTGTACAAAATATGTTGACAGAAGTTATAGAAAATTAATTCAATGTACTTGTTTACTGCAAATTTAGAGATTTAGTTGTGTGTTTGCACCAAAGAAGATATTTCTTCAGTAATATATTTGTTATCAATACCTCTAAAGAAAATGGCAAGTTGAGCCATATCTGTAGCATCAGTACATTCATCTATTCAAACGAACAGCTTTACTCTCTTAATATCTTTTGATTGATTTTCCCAATTCTTCTATTTACCTGTAAATAGAACATTTTAGAAAGATTCATTTTTTAAAGTCAGGACAAATTATATCTGCCATGCTTTCCAAGCATTGCTTAATAAAATCAGTTTCAGTACAAAGCTTTGAGTGTGGGGTGGTTTTGTTTGTTTGTTGTTTATTTGTTTTGTAATCAACAGAATATAACAGCTTAACTAGCTTTTACAATAGAGTCTGTTTGAGTCTTAACATTTTTAAAAAAGATTTTGTTTTAACAAAATTAAGTAGGTGATACTCCCTTTTCTTATCCTTGGAAAACAAATGCCAATATTTATGACATTAGATAAAGAGGGTAAGCTGAGGAAGAAAATTCTGATAAAGAGGGGAAATATGCAGTCTGAGATGGAAGTGTGTATTGAAGACACTGCTCTGATACATTCTACCAGTAAGAAATCTATTCTAGACCTGGAAGAAGTTTAGAGGAAGAAAAAGTGAAGTCAAACATTAAACATTAAGGAACAGATGTAAAATATTCATATTACAAAACAAAATTTTTGGAGCAATCAAAGCAAAGTAGATAGAATCTGTGGAATAATGATTGTTGCTTAGAATGTGAATGCATAGTAAGTCCTGTGTATTCTAGCCAACTTTTTGTTACCTTAATGGTGAATCAAGGAACTAAAAGCCACTTTTGATGTGGATGTGGCATGCTCTTTTCCTCCCATATTTATGGTGTTTATAATACTATTTGTAATATAGGTGCTATTTCCAGGATACCAACTTACTGTAAAATGGAAACGATGTTTCTTTTTTTCATCTGCATATGCTTGTATATCTTATGAAGTATCTTTTGTTATGTTCCTGTTTGGCTGTATGATTAATGCTTTCTACAAGTGAACTCTCAAGATTACAGTAGGTTTTCCCAAGGTTCTTAAAATAGAATATTTCACTGTATCAAAGGAGAGCAGAACTAATGCAGGGTACTGTTGGAGCTCATGTTAAACAAAGATATTTCTGTTTAGCTGCAAAATTGTTTTCTTCTCAGGTGTATTGTTTTCCTGCATCCTGAAATATAAATATACAAATATAAGTATATAAAACACATACATGCTACGTAAATGTTATCTTATTTCCGTTCTACTCATAAAATGAGAAATCATACTGAAAGAAGGATGAAATTTTAAAGCCAATTTTATTTGCCCAGCGGTGATGATGATGCAGCCTTAATATAGGTAGTTTTTTGCTTTCCCCATTCTATTGTAGTAGGGAAAACTGTCTTTATCCAACACGCCTAAACTCACAAAGATTTTAAATCAAAATAGCGAATCAGGTGCCTGAATCATATAAACATAAACCTGAACGAGTGCTCATGAAACTTAACTGATCCCATTACCTTCTATCTTGTTCTTAAAATATTAAAAATATAGGGAAGTAGATTTTCACCCTCTGTGGCTTGCCTCATAATTTGTTTCATTTCCTCCACTGTTAGATAGTCAGAACAGTTTTCTCAAATGCAACTGTAAGTCTTAGGAGCACATCTGTCTAGTTTCCTTCACCAACTGCAAAAAAGGAATTACTTTCCAAGAGGTTTCCATCGTGAACTTTGATGGAAGGGAGAAGACAATGTCCTCTAGGTGCAGTGTCATTTGAGTTATACAAAGGAACATGGCGTCTGAGTACTCATGAGAATACATAAACAATGGACAGTTTGCCTTGAAAACAAAACCACTTTAACTAACAAAGCTCTCACCAAATGTGCCCATAATAACAGTACAATGACTTCATTGTCAAGTTTAGTTATCATAGGCCAAATGATGCAGTCTGTGGTTGCTGCCATACTGTACACTATAACAACAACAAAAATACATACATTGAAAATGAAAAGAACAGTGGCTTCCAAGGGCAGAATCTCACACAGAGAACTTTGGAATGAGGATGGCCATTCTTGCAGGGAATGAAGTCACCTTTCTTTGATATAGGATTATCAATGCATTTCCATTTTGTATCCATCTAGGAAGGAGATTTTTTTTTTTTTACAAATTTTGTGTTATATAGTGCATATATTTATACAACATCATGAGTGGTTTCTAAGTTCTGCAATTATACTCTCTTGGTCAGGAAATGTTTGTTTCCTGTTCATAAATAAAATAAAGGTTACTTCTGGGATGGCAAATTGCATCAGGGGCAAAAAAAACCTTACTGTTCTCCATTATGTTAAAGTGATGTACTTTATACAAGTGAGAGTCCAGCACAACACTGCTCTCAAAGGAGTAAATAATGGGTTACTTGTTGAAAGTCGCTGAAATTTGGACACGACATACAATCAAAGCATTGCATATATTTCTTCCATATTGTTTATCTAGTTAATTAAGCCATTATCCAAAGTAATTAAATTATTTAACCTAGAACAGTTGAAATATTCAGTCTCTTTAATTTTTTTTTTTCAATAAACCACATGTGAGAAATGGGTCATAATAAGATATTGTAATTGATAGTCATTTTTGTTATCAGGAAGAAAAATAACTGAAACATGATAAAATTAGTCATAGTTACCTTAGTGAATTGGAAATAGAATGTGTAGAGATGCCTATGTATGCAGCAAAAATCTAGTCATTAAGATAATGTGAGCTATTTGACAAAATAGTGATGTACTTTTTAATGTGGGTATAACTACACTAATATGTCTTAAACATTTGCCTATTTTTGTTGAGGAATAGATTAAAAAAAAAAAAAATCTGGTCCACTGACTTCTGATTGGATACAAAATTTCAAAATGATTCAAAATATAGAATCACAGAATCTCAGGGGTTGGAAGAGACCTCTGGAGATCATCTAGTCCAACCCCTTGCAAAAGCAGGTTTCCTACAGTAAGTTGAACAGGAAAGCACCCAGATTGGTCTTCAATATCTCCATAGAAGGAGATTCCACAACTTTCTGGGCATCTTGTTCCACTGCTCTTTTGCCATGAAAATTAAGAAACTTTTCCTCGTGTTTATAGGGAACCTCATGAATTTCAATTTTTGTTCATTGTCCCTTTTTCTACTGTTGCATGTCAGTGAAAGTCTGCCATTGTTGAATTGACTCTCACACTGAGATCTCAGGGAGCTTCTCTTCTCCACATTGAAGAGCCCCAGGTCTCTTAGTCTTTCTTCAAAAGGGAGATTTCTGCCATTAAAAAAAAAACAAAAACAAAAACAAACAAACAAACAAAAAAAAAACCTGAAAACACAAAAAACAACTGAATCTATGAGCACGGACTTTGCCTGACACTTGTAATAGTCAGACTTTTTTGTCACAATTCTTGGAATGCAAGACTCAATACAACATCTTCATATCTCTTCAATGTTTTCCTCCACTCTGTCAACAGGTGTTTAATTCTCAAAATCCGTAGTTGTTTCCATTCTACTTTCTTCAGGTTAGGTTCCAGAGGTAAAAGCTACTGATATTCTTCTAGTAAATTTTATGTCTACACTGGATCATTTGTTTAATCAGGAGCAGATTCAAGTGTCTAAAATATCCACCATGCTAATCTCTTTTCTTTTTTTCCTAAGGTGTAGTATTTTGAGATAATGTTTCAACTAGGAAATACTACATAGGATTCAGAAATAATGCTGTATATTTTTCAGGATCCTGTGAACCAGACCTGGTTTAGCTATCTCAGAATAAGAATTACAGTCTACGCATTTCAGGACCTACAGGTGGGCAGGTAAAGGACTGGCATAGTGCAGAGGAACAGTGATAGGGGAGCAGTAGTGGTACTTCAGGAAAGGCTGAATGTTGAAAGGGTTTTAGGAGGCTGTGGACAGAAAACACACGGTTCAGTGAGACTTTCGAGGCCTCTGAATTGTCTCCTCCTCTTCTTCTAACTTCTTTACCTCCTTTCTCCCTTTCTCTCTTTGAGGTTTTAAAACTTATATTCTACATCTTCTTGTAATCTACAAACAATTCCTTCTCCATTGGTTCTACCTTCACATGCCCTCTTCCTGTTTCAGAGGCCACACCAGCAGACAGTTTTCCTGATTAACTGCTGGGGTTGCCCTACCTGGGCCTGCCCTAATGAAGCTTCCTTGGCAGCAGCTGCTGGGGAAGACCATAACATGAACAAAGAGCAGTGAGGTTGCATTTAGTGTGTCCTGATATTAAGCCTGTATTATATGTATGTGAGACTGTTATAATGGTTTCCCCTGAAGCGTGTCTGGTGGATGTGATCTTGCTGTAACATGGGACCAAGCTGGAGAACAACTTTGTTCTGGAGGTATGCTATTCCCACAAAAATATAACGAGGAAAATGTGCATTTGTCAAGGGTGAGTTGTGTTAATGAGAGCATCCATGGCTAGCTAACAGCTGAAGTAATATAAATTCCAGGCATAAAGCTGTTCTTTGGAATAGGTACACTTTTTTGTTATACAGAACAGGTACAAATAAGAAAAAGAAAACCCATATAGATAAAGTGTAGCTTGCTTCAGTTTGTATAATGAAGAAGGGTGGCAGGAAGTGATGTGAGCAGAGAAGCAGAAGAGTTTATACTTTAGAGGAAAGTATAAACTCACAAAAAGTGGACAAAACCTGTTTTCTCTTTTTTTTTGGATTTGTATTTAAGTACTTTGGGGTTGGATGCTGGGATATGATGCGCAGAAGTGGAATTGTGTCATTTTACAGTTGTGGGTCACATTCAGTTTGATGTGCAGTGATTCAGAGTTACTTGCGCTGTTTTTTTTCCCCTCATGTTGTCAGCTATCTGCTGACAACTGCCATTGACAATGACAATCTTTTTGGCCCTTACTTACTACTATAGTCATCTTTGGGCAGCTGAGTAACTCTTTATGGGATGTCAAACAGACAAAGAACCTCTTGAAGTAGACTCCTGATGCTATTTTAGGCTGTTGAATACAGGAAAGTGGTAATGCTTTTTTCTTTTTTTTTTTTTTAATAAGCATGTCCAGATGAATTTATGAATAATGTTGAATAGAAATGGAGCTTCAGAGAAAAATATCTCTTTTAAAAACTTACTGTGTCTGGTAGAAATGCTAAGTCATAGTTTGAAGCAGTGATTGGGCACCTAGTAGGAAGGCAGGGCCAATCCAGTGAAACTCAGGTGCATTCAATATGCTAGAGTGATCAGAAGAGGTGGAGCCAGAATCCACCTCTTCCCAACCCTTAAATGAATTGGCAGTAGAGGCAAGAGTATTTTGCTGGAGATCCCCGCATATGCGAGGCCTTCCAAGTCTAAACGGACTTTTTTTCCTTTATTTCTGTGGCTGCTGTGTTCGGCCGTATCCTCACTTGCTGCAGCATAGGACTTTGCTACTCTGCTCTCATTGCTGCACTTTCCATGGCATTACAGCATTATATTGTGTGACATTGGTAGTTGTCTAACACCTCTACAAGACTGTTTTGAGACTCTCATCTGCAGAGATGTTCAGAAGAACTCTTTTTGTGAGAGGAGTTGATGCTGACGGATTAATTTTTGCCTGTGTAAGTGGAATTCTGAAATTCCTTCCTGCTTCAATGAAACTGCAATGGTAATTCTGGTGAATCCTGACAATATGGTTTGTTTACCCAGTAATTGGAAATGAAGATTTAGTTTGTGTTGATAAGGCAATATATTTTGATACATGGTGTTGCTAATTCTGTCCCTGGGTGGAAAACACCATAAACTGCTTAATTCACTCTTTTTGTAAGTCTAAGACCTGATTTCTGTTCCATGCAAATGAGCATGAGTATAGTCCTACCCATCTACACTGACATCTACAGAATCTACCAACGTAAAGCCAAAGGCAGTTAGTTAATAGACTCTCTTCGCTGCTGACAGAAGTTTCCATGTTCCCCCAGTCTGTCTTAAATGTTGCCTTTAGTGAACATTGGTTGTATGCAGAGGAAAGACAGGCCTTCTAAGCACAGCTATGTTTTTCCAGAACCCTACTCTGATTAAGGCAGTAAGAGCACCTGAGTATCCACGATATTAGGCAATTGGTTTATTTTCATGATTGTAAGAAAAGAGGAAAAATAGGTGTTAGGAATGTCAGAATTTAGAAAATAATGTGATAGAATAGTTTTAAAGCTATTCAGAGAAACATAAGGCTACAGAACTTCTAGATCATCCTGTTCATTCTGTGCTTTTCAGGATCTACAAGCAGTGTGGGTTAAGATAAACAAGGATGAAAATATTACCATGTCCTCTGCTTGGAAAGTAGTAATCAGTACTTAATGGCAATGGGCTGTTAAGCAAACTAATAACTGTTGTTTAATGTGAAGTACAATTTTTTTTTTTTTTTTTTTTTTTGAGATGTGTGCTGTGCTTCAGTCTAGTTCTGTGTTAACATGAAAAGCACTTATTTGAAAAACAGTCATGCTATTATTTTAACTAGTGTTGCTATTTGATGCAAATTCAAAGTACATTTGGAAGTAAGGGCACTTTCAACATATTTATAATCGTCCTCGGGCAACAACGGGGAACTGCTAAGGCTGTGCCACCCTTCACCATGCTTAACTTGCTTTTGCAAACTTCCTTTATTAACTTCTGTGACCAGAACACGCTGGATGTGAGATGGAACACATTAAGTATTTATTGAGAATTCTCCAAACAGAATTCTTGCCTGTCTTCTTACAGGCTTTCTCTAAAAAAACAAGGACTGCAAAGATGAGCCAGCTTGCTGGAGACTACTGGTAACACTGAAGGGGTGAAAAGAGAAGGATAGTAAAGCTGTATCTGGAAACTGTTATTCTCTGATAAGGCACCTATGTTTGCATAACAGTGTTTTAGAACCAAACTAAAAATTCTCCCTGAACTGAATCCTCAAACTAAGATGAAGTTATTTTTATGGTGAGATTCATGTATTTCAGCTGACACTTTTGTATTGCATAGATGCTGAATAAAACCTGACATTATGTCTAGAGTCAGTTGAAGTATTGGCAGTGGCATACGGAACTAGTCAAAATTCTGTTTCTGGCACTTCTGAATGTAAGATTCCAAAGTAGTTAGAGCAATTGACTATGCCACCTGATTACTAAACTGTACGATGAAGTTACAGGACAGTGGGGGAAAGAAGAGTGATGATGCTTTTGCTGTAAGAGATGATATATGTGCATATATCTGTATATTGTTATTGACTGTAACCTCACTGGGAGTAATGTTTGCCAAGCCAGAAAGGACTGCTACACACCCAAAACTGATACTAAAGTTTTAAGTAGAACTTCAGTGGTGTCCATTTCCCCCCTGCTTCCCTTCTTCCTGAGATCTGACAACCAGATGAGTGATTTCTCTGCCCCTAGCCCACCAATACTGTTATAAAAACCATGGATGCTCTCTGGGAGAGGGAAAACCTATGTGCATGAGACCTGAATATATTTGTCTAATTCTATTTGATTTTAATTGTTTTTGACTATTACTTTTCTGTGTGTGTGAAAAGTAATTGCTTTCTAGAGAAAATTTCAAACTCTCCCCAGAAAAATGAAAATACTTTATGAACTGCTTGTTGTCAGCTAAAATACTTGGCTATTCAGCTACGATGTGTTGATAAGTTGTAATTTTGTTTCTTATTCCCTTATGCGTGTGGACGTTTCCAACACGAATAAAATCCCACACTTCATAGAGGTCATAAACTTGTTAAGTATGGAAATGTTGGGGGCAATCTGGCTCAGGAGAGCAGTGTATCTGCTGTGGATACCCCCTAAGGCACTTAATTAAAGCTCCCATCAGGCAACATCTGCATGAAAACAATTTCATTTTTGACATGGACTGGAAATCTCAACTTACTGATTTTTTTCTTCCCTTTGTAAAACTTTATTCTCTAATGTATATGTAAACAGGCCCCAAGAATTCCATTAAAAATGTCCAAATTTCCTTTATAAATAATGCCACTGTAGTGTTCTCACTATGTCTAGCAAGAAGTGTCAGAATTGTAATGCTAATCATTTATGTAGGCACGTATGCTTTAGCATCTTAAGGGCAAGCAGCATATGCCTTTACATGTTGTTGAAATGAGTAGCGTGTAGTAGAAATGGCAATTGCCAAGTTAAAGAAATACTTTGTGATGGTGATTCAATTGCTAGTTTAAAGGTATTATGGGGACAAAAGCAAAGCTTCACAGGCAGAGTAATTACTAAATAATATTTGTATTACACTCCAAACTGCTGCTTTAAGGCACCATTCACACGTTGTGGGTGTTCTTCCTGTTCTCTTTTGGTATCCCTCTGCCCTCAGAAGTTCTTATTATTGACATGGGACTGAGTACAATTACAGTTTTTTTCTTGTTTTCTGTACTCGTCTTTAAGCTTGATGGGGATTCTTATTATTGGAAATTGGAGAAACGGGAGAAATTACTGTTCTGAAGTCTGGAGTGGATGATTGTATTTGCTGAAAATGAAAGAAAATGCTAATTTAAGCAGCAGTAATTATTTTGAAGTGTCTCCTTTTTGGATCTTACATAGCATAGACTGATATTACAGGTCTCAGAACCTGGTTTTCACATTTGTTGTGTTAAATCATTCTCCTATGACGAAGAGAGATAAAGGTCACTTAAAGAGCAGAATGCAAAAGCCTCAAAGGATTGGCATGGTTTAATAAATGCTGTGGTTTAATAAATGCTGTGGTTGGCATTGAGATCCTTTGAGTAAGAGAAGAAATATGGGAAATCTATCTGCTTACTACTGAATAGATGTACCTATCTAGAAATGAATACAGATGAAAGCATTTTTAATCAGTGAAAACCAGAACATAAACAATTTACAGAAAGTACAAAAGATGTTTTGCAATTCCTACAAGTGGTTTTGTAAAGGACAAAGAAGCTGAGTTAAATTGAATGACCAAGATGTTACACATGTAAAACCTGAGAAAAGTGTGAATATTCACTGGGGATCTGCTAGGAATAATCAGCATGTTTGAAAAATGTACTACCTTACTCCCTAAATTATTTCTTTGTTCTATTATTTTTGCTGACAAAAACACAATTTTGAGTTCAGTAAGTGATCACAATACAGATGCTAACAGTGTATGATAAAACATTCATCAGGCTGATCTTCTATTGCCCCCCTCAAGTGAATGGCTTTTATAAGGCCTATCCAGATTCTTGGACTTGTGCTGTCAAACTGTTTTAGTGAATATGTTTTCCTGCCAAGATATGTGTGTGTGTGTGTGTGTGTGTATATAAATATACGTGAAAGTGAAGTTAGGCATAAGAGCAAGAAGATGCTTTTTTCATTTATATATATGCTGAAATATCTTTCTGGTTACTGTGGGGAAAAATGTCATAGTC